AGGAAAAAACCTACAATAACAAATCCATAACAATTAAGAAAATAGTAATAGGAATATACATATCGATAACTACTTTAAATATAAATGGATTAAATGGTCCAACCAAAAGGCACAGACTGGCAGAATGGATACAAAAACAAGACCTGTATATATGCTGTCTACAAGAAACCCACTTTAGACCTAGGGACACATACAGACTGAAAATGAGGGGATAGAAAAAGATATTCCGTGCAAATGGAAATCTAAAGTAAGCTGGAGTAGCAATTCTCATATCAGACAAAAGAGACTTTAAAATAAAGACTATTACAAGAGACAAAGAAGGACACTACATAATAATCAAGGGATCAAACAAAGAAGAAGATATAACAATTATAAATATTTATGCACCCAACATAGGAGCACTTCAATACATAAGGCAAATACTAACAGCCATAAAAGGGGAAATTGACAGTAACACAAAAATAGTAGGGGACTTTAATACCCCACTTTCACCAATGGACAGATCATCCAAAATGAAAATAAATAAGGAAACACAAGCTTTAAATGATACATTAAACAAGACGGACTTAATTGATATTTATAGGACATTCCATCCAAAAACAATAGAAAACACTTTCTTCTCAAGTGCTCATGGAACACTCTCCAGGATAGATCATATCTTGGGTCACAAATCAAGTCTTGGTATACTTAAGAAAATTGAAATCATATCAAGTATCTTGTCCAACAACAATGCCATGAGACTAGATATCAATTACAGGAAAAAATCTGTAAAAAATACAAACACACGGAGGCTAAACAATACACTATTAACTAACCAAGATATCACTGTAGAAATCAAAGAGGAAATCAAAAAATACCTAGAAACAAATGACAATAAAAACACGATGACCCAAAACCTATGGGATGCAGCAAGAGCAGTTCTAAGAGGGAAATTTATAGCAATAAAATCAATCCTACCTCAAGAAACAAGAAAAATCTCAAGTAAAAAACCTAACCTTATACCTAAGGCAATTAGAGAAAGAAAACAAAAAAAACCCAAAGTTAGCAGAAGGAAAGAAATCATAAAAATCAGATCAGAAATAAATGAAAAAGAAATGAAGGAAACAATTGCAAAGATCAGTAAAACTAAAAGCTGGTTCTTTGAGAAAATAAAAAAAATTGATAAACCATTAGCCAGACTCATAAGAAAAAAAGGGAGAAGACTTAAATCAACAGAATTAGAAATGAAAAAGGAGAAATTACAGCTGACACTGCAGAAATACAAGGAATCATGAGAGATTACTACAAGCAACTATATGCCAATAAAATGGACAACCTGGAAGAAATTGACAAATTCTTAGAAAAGCACAACCTTCTGAGACTGATCCAGGAAGAAATAGAAAATATAAACAGACTAATCACAAGCACTGAAATTGAAACTGTGATTTAAAATCTGCCAACAAACAAAAGCCCAGGACCAGATGACTTCACAGGTAAAGTCTATCAAAACTCTTACAAAATACAGCACAGGGAGGAACACTCTAAAACTCAATTTAAGAGGCCACCATCACCCTGATACCAAAAGCAGACAAAGAAGTCACAAAAAAAGGAAACTAGGGCTTCCCTGGTGGCACAGTGGATGAGAGTCCACCTGCCGATGCAGGGGACACGGGTTCATGCCCCAGTCCGGGAAGATCACACGTGCTGCGGAGTGGCTGGGCCCGGGAGCCATGGCCACTGAGCCTGCGCATCTGGAGGCTGTGCTCCACAACGGGAGAGGCCACAACAGTGAGAGGCCCACGTACTGCAAAAAAAAAAAAAAAAGGAAACCACCAGCCAATATCACTGATGAACATAGATGGAAATATCCTCAACAAAATACTAGCAAACAGAATCCAACAGCACATTAAAAGGATCATACACCATGATCAAGTGGGGTTTATCCCAGGAATTCAAGGATTCTTCAAAATATGCAAATCAATCAATGTGATACATCATATTAACAAATTGAAGGAAAAAAACATATGATCATCTCAATAGATGCAGAAAAGCTTTTGACAAAATTCAACACCTATTTATGATAAAAACTCTCCAGAAAGTAGGCACAGAGGGAACCTACCTCAACATAATAAAGGCCATATATGACAAACCCACAGCCAACATTGTTCTCAATGGTGAAAAACTGAAAACATTTTCTCTAAGATCAGAAACAAGACAAGGTTGTTCACTCTCACCACTATTATTCAACATAGTTTTGGAAGTTTTAGCCAGAGCAATCAGAGAAGAAAAAGAAATAAAAGGAACACAAATTGGAAAAGAAGTAAAACTTGTCACTGTTTGCAGATGACATGATACTATACATAGAGAATCCTAAAGATGCTACCAGAAAACTACTAGAGCTAATCAATGAATTTGGTAAAGTAGCAGGGTACAAAATTAATGCACAGATATCCCTTGCATGCCTATACACTAATAACAAAAAATCTGAAAGAGAAATTAAGGAAACACTCCCATTTACCACTGCAAGAAAAAGAATAAAATACGTAGGAATAAACCTACCTAAGTTGGCAAAAAACCTGTACTTAAAAAACTATAAAGCACTGATGAAAGAAATCAAAGATGATATAAACAGATGGAGAGATACACCATGTTTTTGGACTGGAAGAATCAACATTGTGAAAATGATTATACTACCCAAAGCAATCTACAGATTCAATGCAATCCCTATCAAACTACCCATGGTATTTTTTACAGAACTAGAACAAAAAATTTTACAATCTGTATGGAAACACAAAATACCCTGAATATCAAAGCCATCTTGAGGAAGAAAAACAGAACTGGAGAAATCAGCCTCCCTGACTTCAGGCTATACTACAAAGCTACAGTAATCAAGACAGTATGGTACTGGCACAAAAACAGAAATATGGATCAATGGAACAGGATAGAAAGCCCAGAGATAAACCCACACACATATGGTCACCTTATCTTTGATAAAGGAGGCAAGAATATACAATGGAGAAAAGACAGCCTCTTCAATAAGTGGTGCTGGGAAAACTGGACAGCTACATGTAAACAAATGAAATTAGAACACTCCCTAACACCATACACAAAAATAAACTCAAAATAGATTAAAGACCTAAATATATGGCCAGACACTGTAAACTCTTAGAGAAAAACATAGGCAGAATACTCTATGACATAAATCACAGCAAGATCCTTTTTGACCCACCTCCTAGAGAAATGGAAATAAAAATAAACAAATGGGACCTAATGAAACTTAAAAGCTTTTGTACAACAAAGGAAAGCATAAACAAGATGAAAAGACAACACTCAGAATGGGAGAAAATATTTGCAAACAAAGCAATGACAAAGGATTAATCTCCAAATTATAGTATCAATGCATGCAACTCAATAACAAAAAAGCAAAAAACCCAATCCAAAAATGGGCAGAAGATCTAAATAGGCATTTCTCCAAAGAAGATATACAGATTTCCAACGAACACATGAAAGGATGCTCAACATCACTAATCATTAGAGGAATGCAAATCAAAACCACAATGAGGTATCATCTCACACCGGTCAGATTGGCCATCATCAAAAAATCTACAAACAGTAAATGCTGGAGAGGGTGTGGAGAAAAGGGAACCCTCTTGCACTGTTGGTAGGAATGTAAACTGATACAGCCGCTATGGAGAACCATATGGAGGGTCTTAAGAAACTAAAAATAATATGACCCAGCAATCCCACTACTGGGCATATACCCTGAGAGAACCATAATTCAAAAAGAGTCATGTACCACAATGTTCATTGTAGCTCTATTTACAATAGCCAGGACAAGGAAGCAACCTAAGTGTCCATCAACAGATGAATGGATAAAGAAGATGTGGCACATATATACAATGGAATATTACTCAGCCATAAAAAGAAACGAAATTGAGTTATTTGTAGTGAGGTGGATGGACCTAGAGTCTGTCATACAGAGTGAGGTAAGTCAGAAAGAGAAAAACAAATCCCGTATGCTAACACATATATATGGAATCTAAAAAAAAAAAAAAAAAAGGTTCTGATGGACCTAGTGGCAGGACAGGAATAAAGACATAGAGTAGAGAATGGACTCCAGGTCACGGGGAGGGGGAAGGGTAAGCTGGGATGAAGTGAGAGAGTAACATGTACATATATACACTACCGAATGTAAAATAGATAGCTAGTGGGAAGAAGCCATATAGCAGAGGGAGATCAGCTCGGTGCTTTGTGACCACCTAGAGGGGTGGGATAGGGATGGTGGGAGGGAGATGCAAGACGGAGGGGATATGGGGATATATGTATACATATAGCTGATTCACTTTGTTATACGGCAGAAACTAACACAGCACTGTAAAGCAATTATACTCCAATAAAGATGTTAATATATATATATATGTATGTATTTGGTTTCCTAAACTATGCAAACTGGGAGTGACAGGAATATGCTGTGACTTTCACAACAGTTAAGTGACATTCTGGAGCAGGCACAGCATGCTTTCAAAGCTCATCACTTTACAGAATTTAAAAGGCTTGGAGTTAGATCTTGATGCCTCTATGGTACACGCTGAGTTCAGCTCTTTATTAGAGCCATGGGTATTGATTTTGATTTTTCCATATTTTTAATGTCATCTTGATTTGGATACATGGGCTCTGGTGGGATGAAACTGATTAGGACTAAGCCTAAGAAAAATTATTAAGTAGGCAAAATTTATTTTTATTGGTCTTTGCCTTTCTATTGGCATCCTTTCTTCCATGACAGCTGCTCACCCATCAGGCTTCCCAGTGCTTTCATAATGTGTGGAACTTCCATTAATGCTGGACCATTTTCCCTAGAAAATTCTTCATGTTCCAGCCCAGTGAAATTTATCTGTTGAGTGTTACCATCTCTCAGTCTTTGCTTAGTGACAACTAACCACTATGATTTACAACATCTATTCTGATGAGTTAGTGAGTACTTAGTCTGCTTGGGTTGCTATAATAAGATATCATAGACTAGGTGGCTTAAACAACAGACATTTATTTCTCATGGCTCTGGAGGCTAGGAAGTGTAAGATCAAGATCCTCGCAGATCTGGTGTATGGTGAGGGCACTTCCTGCTTTGTAGTTGGTCATCTTGTTGTGTCTTCACATGGCAGAGAGGGGAGAAAGATAGAGACAGAGAGAAAGCTCCCTTGCATCTTTTCTCATAAAGGCAATAATCTCATCATGAAGGCTCCACCTTGATGGCCTAATTACCTCCCAAAGACTTTCCCTTCAAATAGCATCACCCTGGGGATTAGGTTTCAACATATGAATTTGGGGGTGATACAAACATTCACTCCATAGCAGTACTACTATCTTAATGAGCAATTTCTCCCTATGCTAGAATACTCTTAACTTCTCTGCTCCTTTGAAAAATTAAACTCACTCAACTCAAACATAATTTCTTTGAATCTTTCCTGATTCCTTCTAGGAATGATTAGTTACCTTTTATCCTAATACTTTGTATAGCTGGTCTATGCAATTGCTGATAAGACTTTATTATTTCATTTTCTTTCAATATTTTTGGGGTTTTTGCACTGTCCTCCTTTTCTCATTAAACTCTGAGATGTTCAAAGACTGGAATGTTCCCTTATTTGTTCTTACGTTTCCACTACCTAGTATAGAGTCTGGTACTTAGTAATTGTTCAATAAATACTTATTGAATAAATCAATGACTATAATAATGTGAATGCGAAATCCTCTCAGATCTGTCAAGATATCTAACCTTTCAGAGGTTAAAGAGTAAACAATGTATCTCTCCACATTAAAGGATGCTTTGAGTAAATCTTTTTTTCCTGAAAAACCGATCCAAGGACAACAGCTTGCTCAGAGTCATAACCAGCTGTACCACACATACTTTACCAGTAAACCTTGAAAATGACAGAGCCCAGCCCCACAGATCCTTTTGTTGTGAGGCTGTTTCTCTGGCCAGAATGATTCTGCATCATTGCTCTCTTTTTTGTGCCAGAGACAATTTAGCTGCACCATGTTCCCATCTAAGGATTTGGTATCCCCAATTCCCTGTGTGTAAACAATACATTCTTAAACAAGGCAAAACGGATATATTTCATCATAAAGTCTATTCAGTCACTGAGTCTCTTGTCCTTTCGGAAAATGACAGCACTCAGTGATTCCCATATCCAGCCAGTCAGAGCAAAAAATATCTGGGGGTGAGCAGGCCTTTCTTTGGTGGCTCCCCCCGTCACATCACATCAGCAGCCATCTACACCTCCACATAGTTTAGGCAATGACCAAAGATATTCCATAAGCTGAAGTTACACTTCAAACACAAATGAGAAGAATCCATGTATAATGAGATATTCTCGACATTCACACAGATGTGATTAACCTCCAGTGCAGTCAGAAATAAAAGGATAATGCACCTCTACCCCTCATCATCAAAATTGCCTTGCTTCATGTCTTAACATGAGCAGAAGACCATGATGAAAGACATTTGTAGGGGTACTTTAGTGGATATTGCTTCCTATTGCTATAGAAAACCATATTAAATAGCCATTTTTGTGGCCAAAATAATCACAAATATACGTTCTAGACTTTTGTGGGAAGCTAGATACAGGCTAAGTTAGCCGTGAGAAACAGATCATGTGGATCTTTGAATCATTTGCTTGGCAGATATATTTATATAGTTCCTAGATATTTCCAGGAACAAGTATAACATGTTGAAATGTGCAATATTTGGGACTGTGGTTAAGAAAGACATAATATATGTCAAGCAAAGGAGAAAAAAAAAAACACATCTGGCCTTACCAGCATACTCTAGTTTATCACAAACCTACCTTTTATTTCCTATACTTCTCTTATTTCTCTCCTGTTCCAGATGTCTTTCTTTAATTACTTTGTATGCTGAAAATTCAGCTAGCTTTCTTATCTAATCCCATATGTTTATAATCTTTTGTCTGAAATACTTCTGCTTGAGTTTCTTATATTCCATTTTCTAAATGTCTTTAATTAATTCCTCCAGCTACCCTCTTAATCTTATCCTCTCCCAATTTATCCAAGACCCTGCCATCGATTACTGTTAGATAATTACAATCTTTTTTTTCTCCCCTGGCATCTTCTCTTTTGCCCCAAATAGGAAGATGGCAGCATGAGTGGACAAATGATCCTACAACTCATTAGCTGTGTATAGAGTTTTGCACAAGTTTTCTTAATTCGCTGAACCTTGGTTTTCTCATCAATTTCATCTATTTTGTTCACTATACCCCAGATAAGTAAAAAAAAAAAAAGACTAATTAATAACTGATAGAAGTAGTAGCCTTATGACTACATCCTGACCTGCCTGGTGGGAGATTTATCCCCTATCGAATACCTCCCAAATCCTCCTTCTATTTGCTCAGTGCTCCAAGACCTAGTCCTCCTGTGTGTCACATGGCATACAACCATGTTTCTCCCTTCCTCCTCTTGCCCACTGGAGGGGTACCCGTGTCTTCTGTGGATGCTGAAAGTGGCATCTATGCCAATGTTGTCCACTGTTGCCTTCCAGAGGCTGTAAGGTTGCGATTGCCCAAGGCTTAAGAGTATCCGTATCTGTAGCAAGGTTGCTGATTATCAAAGCCAGACAGAATATACTAACAAAAAAGATGCCTCTGTCTTTAGCATCATTGCCATCACCATAGACAATCTGCTACCGCCTGTACTACTGCTTCTCCTACAGGCACCAGCAGTTCCCAATGTAATTGACAATTTGCATGTCAATGTCCCATGGGGGAGTTTAGAGAAATGACTCTTTTAATTTACATAAGCTCTGTTGTTACACCCCTCACCCTAGGACTTGGCAGGACTGCACGGGAGTTAAGCCAAGGAGCATCTGACACCTAGTCACCCTTGGAATCATTCCTGTATACTCTCCACACATCATGTTTGGACTTTCTTCTCTTTGAAAGAGCTTCCCTCCTCACACTGGGCCTTCCCCAGCTACGTAGGCCTCTCTCACCTCCTCATTTTCCAGGTGCACTCACACACACAATCCTCAAATCGAGGTTAGGCTCAAGCTGTGACTCTTGCTAAAGGTAAGTTACCAATAATAGTAACGATCTTGTGATATTACTTTGAGGATTAAGTGAATAGTGTGTGTATAGTATGTGCAACACATTTAGAATGGCATCTGGGGGTTTCCCTGGTGGTGCAGTGGTTAAGAATCCGCCTGCCAATGCAGGGGACACGGGTTCAATACCTGGTCCAGGAAGATCCCACATGCAGTGATGCAACTAAGCCCATGCGCCACAACTACTGAGCCTGCGCTCTAGAGCCTGCGAGCCACAACTACTGAAGCCTGCGCGTCTAGAGCCCCTGCTCTGCAACGAGAGAAGCTACCGCGATGAGAATCCCATGCACCGCAATGAAGAGTAGCCCCTGCTCGCCGCAACTAGAGAAAGCCCACGTGCAGTAACAAAGACCCAACCAGCCAAAAATAAATTAAAAAAAGAATGGCATCTGGGGAGGAGGAACAGGGTTTCAAGGGGAGAAGCAGGCACCCTGGGACTGGTGTCTGAGAGGGGTCACACGATAGCCTTGGTGCACAACAGATCTCCAGGATGGGTATGTAATGTTCAACAGTAAACCCCGGAAAGAGGGTGTACTCCAAGACGAAGTGTCCGCTTGGTGAAATTCTACACACCAGGCCACACCTGTCCCACAGGCACCCCCAGTCGAATATGACTCATGAGGAGAGAGAAAGCTGTCAGGTTGGAAGGAGCCTTGAAGATGGGCCAAGAGACATCTCAGCAATGATCTGCCTGGACCCACCTGAGCACAGAGTGGTAAGCTGCACATTCTACGAGAAACAGGTACAGGGGAAAGTCCCCAACTAACACCATATTTTCTCTTCCAAAGAAGAATGAGAGTTTGAAATAGAAATTACATTGAGGTATAAACAAATATATATTGTTCCCTTATAAAAGGAAAATAGTCTCAAAACAGTCTATCTCTGAATCCTGAGTTCCTTTAATGCTTTAGTGACATCATGTTATTTCACTCCCTTCAGTTCACTGAAACTGCTACCTCAGGGGTCAGTGATGGCCAACAAACTGAGGAAGCCAGTATCCTTTTCTCTGTCTCATTCTAGGTGATCGCTTTACAGAACATGATGTTTCTCTCTCTGGAGCCCTCACCACATCGCCTCCCTAAAACTTTTCTCTTCCTACTGCTACTTCTCTACTCTTAAGAATCTCTTCTTTTTTCTCCTCTTTAAACAGTTTTTAAACTCTGCAGTTTCTGCAGTCCAATACCATTCTTGTCCATATCCTTGTGCATTTGTCCATAATCTCTCCTTACTTGATACTTTCTCCCAGATAATCTTATCTACCATTAGGCTTTGGTTATCACCTTTATCCTTGGTTCTCAAAAATTTTAATGCATTAAAATAACCCAAGAAAATTTTTAGAAAATCAGATTCCTGGGCCGCATCCTCCAGGCAATCTGATTGACTATATCTGCAATGAGGCCCAAGAATCTTCATTTTTACAAGCATCTCGAAGCAAGTATCTTGGATGCAAATATTCATAGATCACCTCCTGAGACATACTAATAGATTGCTCATGACTTCCAAGTCACCAGTGTCTTAATCTGTTTCTTGAATTCCAGACCCATGTTTCCATCTAGCTACTTAATATTTCCATTTCCTAAAAGGTAATGCAATAGTCTGAAAGACAAATTTTATTACTTCATCCCCCCCCAAACACAATTTACTTCCTTGTTTGCACTTCTTGTCTTAAGTTAATAGCACTATCAACTCAATCTACAAACTAGAAATTCTCTCTACTTATCATCCAATAAGTCACCCAGTTCTATTAATTTTATCTCCAAAATATCTCTCAAATGTATCCCTTAGCTCTGCCAAATTTAAATATCCAAGGTTCTTTCCTGGGCAATTCAAATAGCCCCTTACCTGACCTCTCTGCTCCCAGGCTCTCTCACCTCCAGTCTTCTCCTCCACACTGCCAGCACTTCATTCTCTAAAAGGCAGATCCAAGCATGTCAGTACAACGCGAGAGCAAAAATCAAAACCAGAAACAAAAAAACCTTTGATGTTTTCTTGGCTTACAGAATTGCTAATGCCCTAGTATAGCATTTAAGAATTTGCCCAATCTGAATCCAATCTCAAACCAAACCCCTTCTCTTCAGCCTTCTCACCATATATAACAGTAAGCTCACTATGTTCACCCCTATTATGCTGCCGTACTTCAAGCATACTTCTCTGCTAACAGAATGCCCTTAACCCCATCACAAGATGTTGAAATCCTTTCCAAGGTTTCAAACCACACCTTCCAATGAAATATGTCAAAGACAAAATTATAAGCTGTCCTCATAATACTCCTCAAATGTGAAGATGTCTTCATTTATTTATTCATTAACCAAATATTTGTTAACCGTCTATGACACACTAGGTCTTATGTTAGGCACTGACAATTCAACAATGAATAAGACAGACTCTGTTTGTGTGTGCGTGTTTGGTTGTGTGAGATGAGAGACATGAGGGAGAGAAAAGGAGAGAAAGAGTGTGTTTTGAAGGGAGAGGAGAGGACCCCTGTTTCGGAGGGTACAATGGATTGGCTTGCTCTTCTAAACCCAAACAACATTTCTAGGTACAGAGGCTGAAAAGCTAAAATCCACATGCATTACTTAGGGTAGGGCGAGCCTGTTATAACCAAAAGATCAAGCAATAATCCAGTGACTTAAAGAAGATTCAAGTTTCTTTTTTTCCCCCTCACTCATAGAATCATCCAAAATGGTTAAATGGACTTTGCTCCACAAAGTCATCCCCAAATCCAGGGTAGCAATACAGCTCTACACCCTCTGGCTTTACTGTCATCCACATGGTTGATCCTGGGTCAGATTCCAGCCAACAATAAGGAGAAAAAAATGTGGATAAGGTATGACTATTGTCTTAAGGCATATATTACTTCTACTTGCATCTTCTAGGCAAGAACTTTGACATACAACCACATATAACTTCAGGGGAGATTGGAAAACAGAATGTAGCCATGTACTCAAGAAGGAGAAAATTGATTATTTCAGTCAACTAACAGTGCTTTTCATGAAACATTTCCTAGATTCCCTTATGCTGAGATTCCAGGTATTATCTTAGAGTTTGGATACTGATTCATTTCAGGAGAGAAGCAAAGTGAGGAGCTTCCGTGTTGCTTGTGTAGATCATGGCAAAGGCGCCCTGGTTCTGGAATGGACAACTACAGCAGTCACTTCCTGATTCTACAGGTAGTTTCCTCCTTTGGCAGATTCTTGGCAAAGGCTGAGGTATCATTCTGGAACAGGCAGCCATGATGACATATTTCTGATTCTGTAATAATTCTTCTGATTATGGTGGAGGCAGCACCTCCCCTGGCCCAATTCCACTGTGTGGATTTGGAAGTGTTTCCTGAATCTCAACATGGTTTTTCTTCAGCCCTCCCAGTGATTCTGTAAGTCACATAATACCATGTAATAACTCCCTGCATGCTTAGGTAGAGTGGATTCTATTCTTGACAACTGAGCTCTGAGCAATATACCTTTTATGTCTCCAGAAGCCTGAAATCTCCTTAGAGATCTCTGGCTCACATTTTCATGAAGGTACAGACAATTTACACTGAATTCCAAAAAGCATTTACTAAGAGATATGTCAGTCTATGGATCCCCAAAGAGTGTAGGAAAGAGTATTAATTTCACTAATATTTCTAAGATCCGACCCTCAAACCTTAATACCCAACTGCCCTACATTTTATAGACCTCGGAAGATCTGTTATGTTGGGGGCAGGGAGAAGTAATACAAGATGCCTAGTGAGTGAAGCCACAACCAGAGCTCTTTCTTTAAAATGTATTATATTTAAATTTCAATCAAAATGTCATTTATTATGAAAGGTGGAGTATTTAGGAGAAACTGGACTGAGGTGTGAAATTTACTTTGAAATGCATCAAAAAGAATACAGTGGAATGAGGAATGGATAGAAAAATAGACAGATGGATAGATACATGATAAAGCAAGTGAAGTAAAATGTTAATGGGGTAGAATCCAAGTGGCATATATATGGCTTCATACTGTAAAATTATTTCAGCTTTGCTGTATGTTTGAGACTTTTCACAATAAAATGTTGGAAAAATATTGTTCACTAAAAGTAATATGCTTCTTGTACATATGCAAACAGGACAGAGATACATCTTGAGGAAGGCAGTAATTCTCTATCTTTCTTTGATTTATCTACTGCCAATTTGGATGTATTCATCCATATTTTCCTTTGCTTATCACAAGCGTAAAATATACATATGTAAATATAAGGATTTAATATCAAATGGGATAACAGTATACTGCATTTTGTAAATTGCTTTTTTACTTTATAAATGCGTCACGGATAGCTTTCCAAGTCAATTCATATAGGTCTCTGTCCTTTTTAAAAGGTGTGTAGTATATCAGAATATGAATTACCCAATTTGTTCAATTATCCTGTTACCGATGACTCTTCAGATTGTCTCCGGTTCTTTGTTGCCAAAACTCATGTGATAAATTTCTCATGCATATGTCTTTAAATACTTAAATATTTTTATATCTAGTAAATGAGTAGATGGAAGTGGAATTGCTGGTTAGGGAGGCATATATATTTTACATTTTAATTAGCTCTGCCAGATAACTTTCTAAGAAGGTTGTTTATAGTCCAACCAAGAGTGAATGAGAATCTCTCTTTTCCCACAGTCTCACAAGCACTACAGATTATTAGTCATGGGCATTCTGATGGTGATCATGATGTTTTAGGATTTTTTCCAGAGGAAACAAGACTGCAGAATGGAGATTAAGTCCAGAACAAATGATTTACTAAGACCACATAGGTTACTAATGCCAGAATAGGGAAAGGAACTGTGGACTTCTAATTTACAATGATCCTTTCTTTCTTTTTTTGAACATAGCCTAAAGATACTAAGTAAAAGCATTTATGGGTGATAGTTTTCATTTCTTATCAAAATGAAAATGTTGTTATCTTTCCATCAAGTTTAGTTACTTTTAGTCTCTCAGCTTCCTGATATTTCAGTTCTGTGACCCTAACTGTAGGCAGTGGTCAAATACAGAGTGTAAAATATAAGGGATACTTCAATGTACCAATCAGGGAGTGACAGAAGTGTGACACAGCCTCCTCTCACGCTGCTCCCAGAAAGGCATGGGCCAAAGTGGTGACACTGAACACAGAGAATGGGCATTAATGTGCACAGTCAGCCTGCCATAGAGCGCCCAAGCTCACTTTGCAAACTTAGGCAAATCTTTCCACTTCCCTGTTTGCATTTTCCTTATATGTAAAGAGGTACTTTTCACACACAAGGAAACTTATTCTATGTTTTGAAACAAAAATGTTAGCCAAGTCTCTAGATATGTAGTAAAACCTTATTTTAATATAATCTATCCTACAAAGAAAATAAGTAAAATGAGAAGGAACAAAAACTTAGGAACAAGACACATTATATAGCATGCCTTTGTCTGACTCTGGAGTATTTGAGTAATTGTGTTGTATTCCCCTGCATTATCTATTTTGAAAGTATTTTTCTCTGTAGGATGGAAGCAGCTATTCAAATACTTCACAGCAAATACTTAGGTAATTTAAGATACATACTCTGCCCCCATAACAGAAATAGTATACAACTGTTTCCCACTCACAGATTAAATCACAGAAAAATGTTATTTTTATGGAACAACTCCTTCTGCTAAAGCTTCAAAGGATCTCTACTACACCTCCTTTCTTCTCTTTATGGGCCAGAAAGATTTTTTTAAATGAGCTGGTCAGTATATTTTCCAAATGTCAGAGAAGCACAGAACCAACAGTAAATAATGATAAGCCCTAAAACTTGATGATCTGCTACTCATCTAAAGGCGAACTAATTATTGAAGGCCTGGAATGAATGAAAGTGGGGCAAGTACATCAAAATTTCCAGGTAACTAGGCACAGTTAGTGTTGATTGTGGCTGTTCTTGATCTTAGGGGAAAAAAATCACTTTTGGGGGGACTGTATCTTCAAGTTCTCAGGTACCCTGAAGTCTAGGGAGTACTCAAATCCTTCCAAACATTCTGAACCAAGCTTTCTACAAAGAAAGGACGAGACTGTCATACAGGTGAAGTAAGTCAGAAAGAGAAAGACAAATACCATATGCTAACACATATATATGGAATTTAAGAAAAAATAATGTCATGAAGAACCTAGGGGTAAGACAGGAATAAAGACACAGGCCTACTAGAGAATGGACTTGAGGATACGGGGAGGGGGAAGGGTAAGCTGTGACAAAGCGAGAGAGTGGCATGGACATATATACACTACCAAACGTAAAATAGATAGCTAGTGGGAAGCAGCCGCATAGCACAGGGAGATCAGCTCGGTGCTTTGTGACCGCCTGGAGGGGTGGGATAGGGAGGGTGGGAGGGAGGGAGATGCAAGAGGGAAGAGATATGGGAACATATGTGTATATATAACCGATTCACTTTGTTATAAAGCACAAACTAACACACCATTGTAAAGCAATTATACTCCAATAAAGATGTAAAAAAAAAAAAAAAAGAAAGGACGGCGATGTAGGCAGGACCAACACACTAGGGGATGGACCTTTTTTAAAATCACTAAGGGAGCTGAAAACATGTTGCTGTGGTGTTAACTCAGTGCATCTGTGGACCAGTCCTCTTTGAGATCATGGTCATTTACTGTATTACTTGTTCCCATGTCAGTAAGGTAGGAATGGGTGGACTGGGGCTACCTCCAGCTTGGAATAATTTCTTATTGCCCGCCCTCCCCGCAACAACCACACACACACACATATTCAGGGAAGGCCCGGGAACAGGCAGTCTAGTTTAGCTGTTCTAAGTTGTATGGGAATATATTCACTTTTCTTTGGGTTATCTCTTCAACATTCAAATACAATATCAAGGTATCAGCCTATGAAAAAGGAACCAAGAGGACCACTTGTCCTGCTTTTGGATGTAAGTTAAGGAGAAGCGGCCGCCTCAGGATATCCTTAGTTCAATCTACGCCAGTGGTTCTTAACTGAAGGTGATTTGGCAATATCTGGAGACATTTCTGGTTATCACAACTGAAGAGGAGGTACACCACTGGCATCTAGTGGGTAGAGACAAGGATGCTGCCAAACATCCTACAATGCAGAGGACACTGCCCCCCCCCCCCAAATAACTATCCAGTCCAAATGTCAGTATGTCAATACTGCAGAGGTTGAGAATCTTCAACTAGCTCACAAGGGCTGGCATGTC